CATCGTTAACCACAATTCTAGTGGCTAAGTTAAATATATAGGACGGATGGTAAATGAAATCGACATATAGAAAGAGATATATATAATATATATCCTATATTAAAATTTGAAAGGTTAAATATACTATTTTAAACTTTGAAGAAATAAATATAAAAGATGAGACCATTTAATTCCTTTAATTGCTTTTTTGTACAATTGTATAGGTCTTATTTAAGATATTATTATTATTTTATTAAGATATTACTGAAATAGGGGAGAATGATATGATGATATCAATAATTGAAGATTAAGGAATAATGACAGACTAATGACTACAGTAAAGACAAACTTCATTCTAACCCCTTTCACCTCCTACATGTTTCGTTCACTCCTGCCCGAATACTCACCTGTCACCGTCTCCGTGAGCGAGAGCGAAACCAATCGGTCCATGGCGTCGATTTCGTCGGCAGCTGCCCATCTTTCTCGCAGTCGTGGCCCTCTCCTCTTCCTCTCTTCGCCTTCTCCTTCCGCTCTCAATCGCCCAGCCTGCCTCCGTATCTCTTCCTTGCCGGGCGGCGCCCACTCCATAAAGAAGAGTAATGGTGCGAAGAGGTATGGCTGCTGCAAGATCCCCTCTCCCACTCTTCGTTGTAGCGCGCAGCTCCTTGGCGACCTCGCCCCCGCCACGTCCGCCGCCTACGGCACCCTCCTCCTCGGCGGCGGCCTCTTCGCTTGTAATTCATAATCCCCTCCCAAAACCGTCCTTATCTTCTCTGCAAGCAGTTAAATGATAATAACGCTCCTTTTTTCTTTTCCTTTTGTTTTCTCTTTCTTTCTGCTTCAGATGTGAAATCGAGGAGCAAGGGGTCCATTCTTGGAGGGCTTTCGGGAGCCTGCCTCATGGCCGTTGTAAGCACTGTAGTTTGCATTTTCACTTTGTTGTTCTTGGGTTCAGTTTTTTATGTTTTTTTCTTTGATTGCTTTCTTAGCTGCTACTATTGTCTTCGATTGTACTCTCTTTCTCTCTTTTCTCTCTCATCCGGTGTTAGAACTTAGGGTTTCAACAGTTGCAACAAACACAAGGAAAAAGGGGTCACCTTTGAGATTCTACATCAAAATAAAGAAAGCATGCATGGCATGAAGAAAATGACTTATCCTCCTGAAGAATTTCATGGCAATTTCTTTTTCTTTGTTTTCTTTGCAAAGGCAAGTGGTAAAAACGAGATTTGATCCCAGGACCTTGCTACCAACAGTGAAGATCTCCACCAGCTAACCTCATCCGGTAAATTCCATACAATTTCGATAACCATCTTCTCCGGTGGGTTTATAGATATTCCCCTTTGGTCCATAGTCACCTTTTTTGCACGGTAATATACAAATGATGCATCTCCACTATTCATACTAGTGGATGATATTTCATTCATAGTTATTCTCTCATGCTTTGTGTTTATTATGATCGGGCTATCCTTCTTTCCACTTAATTCTATAAGTAATTTATCTTATTTGGCCTCTAATTTGGATGAATAGTATTGGTCATTATAATAATATGTTCATACTTGGTTTGTCATGTTGTCTGTGTCGTATTGGTTATGTGTGTGTGTGTGAGAGAGAGAGAGAGAGAGCAAGATTATGGACCCATATTAAGCATCATTTTCTCATAATTGGTTCTGTTGTGTATGTCTATTGTCTCAGACCCCATGTTCTAGGGAGTTCTGTGAACTAGGTCATCCTTTTTCTTGTTCCAATTTTTGTGATAACTGCAACTACTTTTGCTTCTTGAAGCATGATCCACCTTTTGTTGATTTTAGAGCTGGTCCTGTTAAAAAACATGCTAGAACTTTCCTTGTGATATTTCTTATCCTCATAGTAAGTAAGATTTGTTGTTTAGTAACTATTACCACTATTGATTTTGCTTGTAGGCATATTATCTGATGCAATCACCAGAGACAAAGGAATTAGGTATAGCCATTGGCTTCGGATCAGCTTTTCTCTTCGCCTCTGTATTTGGTATGCTGTTTTGTCCTTGTTCATCTCTTATTTGGCAATCAGCCCAATTTAACTTTGGACCTCCTCCTTTGTCATGTTGGCTCATTGATATCAAGCTTTATATAACTTTTTTTCCTTCTTTATTTTGTCTTAGGTATACGATTGGTTGCCACTCGAAAATTCATGCCTTCTGGACTTCTATTGAGTCTTTCTGTTGGTGTGCTGGCAGTGTTCCTTTCTGCTTATACGCAAGCAAAAGTCTAATTTGCACAGGTTTTGTACTTTATATTTGATGTAGGCTTCACTTGGATCTTCATGAGATGTACAACTGGCAGGATATTGGTGTTTCTCAAACCTATATTTTCAAGTTGTATTTGGTGCTCACCAATTGCATGATATCAATAAGTTTGTTGTCTGTATGAATTTTTTTCCTAAGAAGATTCTTGCAAGATCAATATTAAGATACTATTGAGGTAAATAGTCCAGCATTACTAAATGAGTATTGCCTTTTTATTAAAAGATAGTCTTAAGATTTGATGCTACACTGTACTAGGAATCTAAAGTGGGCATGACCTTGAAGGCATTACTAACTTTGATTTGGCCATCCTCAGCCCCGATAAAAGATTGAACATATACAACAACAAGTCATACCATCCCAACAATTTGGGTTTAGCTACATGTATATTGTGCCATCATTGAGCTCTATGCAATGTAATATCTTTAATTAAATAAAAAAGTTAAAATATCTTTTAATTGTTTCAGGAAATCTTTTTGAATCTCTCTTTATCTCCTCATATTACTCAATTTAATTAATTCATGTCTAATCACAACATTTTTTGGCTTTCTTAAATATATTTGTACCATTTTAGATGATATTCTTTCATTTTATCATTTATTGGGCAGTACATGAATGCTTATAAAGTAAACATTTTTAATCTATCTTTTCTAATAACCCAACACATCCACCTTAATAAAGAAGATGATGATGAAAGCTTGAGCATTTGTGTCAAGAATTTTAGTCCAAGATTCATGTAAAGGTCTTATTGGCTACTTTGTTGTATAATTTGATTCAGACAAAAATACTGTAATATTCTGCTTTGTTGGACACATGTGGCCTTATATTTAAAACGTAGATAATCTGATAAATTGAAGTTCATTTTCATAGGAACTGATATATGGACATTAAGATGGATAATAGAACATTGGTGTGGCTGTTTTGTAACTTGTTGCACTGCCTTAAATATTCACATCAATGTGAAATCTAAGATTGGAATTTCCTTATGTGGCTTAGAAATTTCTACAGTTGGCTGTAGGGTAGGTTTATGATGTTCATTTTATGGGAACTGCAACAGATTGATATGTGCTTATTAGCTCAGGTAGATTGAAATGTCAGTCCTTCATGAGATCTGACCTAGTTTTAGGTTGGTTGTCAATAACCTAACACAACCCCTCACCTTTTTTATTCGGACTTGGGACCGACATTGAAATATCAGTCTTTAATCCTTAAAATGTGCAATGTCAGAATAAATTCTGCATGCTCATTGGCTAATGTGTATTAAGAGGTCAAAGATTTCTTCAGCAGGAGGCTTATGAAGTATATGACTGTGGTTCCCCGGCTACAGTCTACTGTGGTGTCAATTCCCAGGTACTAAACGAGGTTCCCAACTTCTCAGTTATTGCAACTTGAGTGGACCTTACTAGTCTACCAAAGGGTTGCTATGTTCTTTTTTATGGTCACACTGAAAACAAAGGTGTAAACTGTGGATTCTTCAACTTTTAGAATCAATGACTTTGGTTTGCTTGACCTATGCAAAAGATTAAGAGGATTTTCAGAATCATTTTTTTTGCTTGGATGGTATTGATTGAGTCTGACTACTTTAGATTTCGTTTAATTTCTCAAGCAGCTGGATTATATGTTGTGGAATTCCTGATTTAAGTGTCTGTCTAGGCCATTGTCCTGCTCAGCTTCAAATTTGTTGCAAACCTACTCTTTAATATGGTTTTCTGCCTCCTGATACAAAATCCAACGACTGCTCTGCTCTTATGATTTACTTGTTAGTTTGGTTGATGGTGAAATGTGATTTATTTCAGCTAAGATGCTTCGTGTGGCTGATCCTTTTTCTCATTTAGATTGATTCTTTCTCATGGTATCATCCTATTATCTCGTATGAACTTTTCTTGCCTTGAGTAATTAACAGCATTTTTTACTTACATTTTGTCTTTATGGGAGCAGGACAAATGTAAATACATCGTTGATTATATTTGTAGTAAATTCATAATGAGAAGAATATATTCCTCAAGCAGCGTTGAAATCTGAGGACGTCCTCCGAAAGCAAGATGTGGTTTATTGGAGCTGCTTATGAATGTAATTGGATCTGTACCAATTATCGTATTTATAATCTTATTTATGTTAGCGGACTGAGATCTGACATTGATAGTCCACTTAGTTTGGCTTATTAAATCAATGCTGTGTTGATTAGGTTGGAGTAGTTCTGGGGGATATAAGACATGCTAAGCTTTTATTGGTCAAGCAATTCATATTAATGTCGAATAGAAGAGAACCGAAATATGGTGTCAAAATAATGATGCTGGTAGTCATACCAAAACATTATCCTCTTCGGTCATACAGTATTCTAGTTGGCTGGGAATTGGGCCTTGGGCTTCAATTGGGTCTCTGTTTATTGCCTTTCATTAGATAGGCTCTATTTGAAGGCCAGTAGTAATTGGACCCATCAGGAATATAACGGAAGCTCTAGAAAAAGATATTTTTTCGTGGGTGACAATAAAAACGAGAAAAAGAGTGTTTATTGCCAGAATGTTTTTTCGAGTGAATTTTTGTTTCTCATAAAAATAATAATAATTTTGATGGCCAATGATTTGGCCACCTACAAGTCAGTCAATTTTGTTGTGGAAAACAAAGGGAAGATTGCTGCACATGGAGACAGGGTTGGGCGAAGACCGACTCAAGCATGCTTCAGTGGTCATACACAAATAACTTGGTCGCCCTTCTCTCTCTCTCTCTCTCTCTCTCTCACTCTCATTATTAGGCGGCAGTCCATCTCCCTGTCTCACTGCTCTCTCTCTCTCTCTCATTATTAGGCGGCAGTTCATCTCCCTGTCTCACTGCTGATTTTTTTCTGTGCCGGTAGTTGGTTTCTTGTCTTCCTGAAAAGATGCAGGTAAGAAGGCTTTTTGCCTCTTCAGCTTCGTGGAGTCTCACCTTCAGCCCTATGATGATTGTGGCCTCGTGTAACTTGTTGAGGAAGCTCTTGATTAGAATCATCAAGTCCCTTTATCCTCTCCTCTTTTCCTCAGGGAAACTTGGAGGATGTTTCTGACACATGTTCTATCCTTGGTTTCACTTTTGACTTTGATCCAGCAATCAATACGAAACAGAGGTTTTGCCCCTCTTGCTCTGCATCAAACTTGGTTGGGTTGTGATCATGGTTTGTGCTTGTTGGCAGAAAATTGTGTTGAAAGTGGACTTGCACGATAACAAGGACAAGCAAAAGGCGATGAAGGCCGTCTCCACGCTTCTAGGTACCTTCTCATCTCACTTTGTTTCTGTGTGTCTCGACTTCCTTCCATCGACCAGCCACTAACCGAACGGGGAAACGAGCTTTGCAGGGATCGATTCCATCGCGATGGACATGAAGGATATGAAGATGACGGTGATCGGCGCCGCCGATCCTATCGACGTCGTGGGCAAACTGCGGAAATGCTGGCCCACCGACATCGTCTCGATCGGGCCGAAGGAAGAGCCGAAGAAGGAAGATGGCAAGAAGGAGGAGCCGAAGAAGGACGACGCGGAGAAGAAGAAGGAGGCGGAGAAGATGATCAAGGAGCTGGTCGATGCTTACAAGGCATACAATCCCTGCATGACCACGCACTACTACGTCCACAGCGCAGAGGAGAATCCCAATGCTTGTGTGATCCTGTGAGTCATGTGCATATCGGAAGCAACTCATGGGTGCCATAGACATACATATGTACCAGTTAAATAAGCAAGTCATGTGGCTATTCCAATTAAAGTGCACTGTGTGAAGAGGCTTTGGCACTTTACTAGCCATCATCTTTGTGATTTTATGTAGCTATTAGTATGTCAATTAGCATACTACTTTTGATGCAACTCCTCTCTCTCTCTCTCTCTCTCTCTCTCTCTGGATATTAACACAGTATGTCATCTATTCTTCACATGCAATAGCTGATGTTGGAGATTCTTCTGCTAAAATGATCTGATCCAGAGCAAAGGATGAACGAATTTGACTTGTCGATTCTACAAAAAGGATTTACATCTCTGGAGCACGAACAGTAGTGTGTTCCATTTCTTTTCAATTGCAATCTATTGGAAGCATGGCGACAACACAAGACACCATAAAATTGCATTGATGCATCTTAAGATACCATGGGCAAGTCTCCATGGTTGTTTGCCAACTAGGGAGTAGAATACTGAGAGCACCTGGTCATCCCCTGCCTGCAAGTTGGAGAGGGTACTGAAGAGGTTGGCACGTCAAAATCAAAGACAACAAGAATTGTTTACTGCAAAGCTTAACGACAAAGAGAGAACCATTATTCTAATTGCTGATGATGCCTGGAGCAAGCAATAACCACTGGAGGATGATGATGATCTTTTCGAGTCAATAGACACCATGAATTAGCGATATATTATATATATATATATATATATATATATATATATATATATATATATATATATATATATATATATATATATATATATATATATATATAATATATACATCACATATATATACACACACAAAAAAAATATATATTTTTTTTGTGAAAAAAAAAAGAGAGAGAGAAAAGGGGGGGAGAGAAA